CTGGTAAGTTACAAGTCCTTCTGGATTGTTTGGGTGCTAATGTAAACAGGCTCGGTATGCGTTTTGCACCTTAAAAGTGTAAAATGTTACTTCAAGACTGGGTTGGATATACACCAATGGGGAAGTAGTAGAGAAAGTAGACAAATTTTGATATTTGGGCAGCTATATCTCACCCGGTGGACGCATCACAGATGAAGTGTCAGCTCGCATACAGAAGGGTCGGTTGGCATTTGTTGGCTGTCTGTGAAGGGTCCAGTGTATACCGCGGCAGTTCGGTTAGTTCTGCTCTACGGCACAGAAACTTGATCATTAAGGAAATAAGGAAAAAGATGGACTGTCGGTGTTCGAACACCGCTGTCTACGTAGCATTGCACGAATCTGGTGGGGAAACCGGACGAGCTATGCTGACGTTAGACGTAGAGTTTTAGGCAGTCGCGGTCGTCCACTAGAGGAAGTGATCGACCTCCATAGTTGGTTCGTAAATGTGTTACGTATGTCGCCAGATAGGTTGCCACGGCGAACGATGTTTGCCGAGGCAGGTAGCGGTTGGAAAAGGGTCAAGGATGGTCAATCGAATACCTGGCATGAGGGTATGAAAACCCTGACCAGGAGACCAGGCCACATAGGCCCCGTTAGGCTCCCTGGCTGGGGACCTCGGGATGATGGTCACCGATGATTAGAGACACTGAGTGATATGGTTGGGTGTCGCAAACAGTGGCGCTCGTGCATCCACTCGTTATTTCCCTAACACCACTCTATATGAATTCCCCATCTTCCACTTGAATTTGCTTAGACAGTCCAATCTTCATTTTGCCTTTTTATCCAAATGGGCAACCAAAAGACAGCAACCAAAACCCGCGCACGAAAGTGCATGGTTTATGCTTGTAAAAACTGAAACTGAACATCTTCACTCTTCGACAAACTCCGGAGCATCGATCATTTCTGTCTTTCTCGATTTGAAAGCGATTTTCGACGAAGTCAACCGCTCTAAACTCTCTTCTGAAAGGTGTGCCCGAGAAGTTTATTTCGATATTACAATCCCTTTATACTAAAAGCCAAAGTCCAGTCCTAGCTTACATCACGTTGTCATCCGAGTTCACCACGAAGGGTGGTGTTCGACAGGGTTGCTCTCTCTCTCGTTTCCTATTTAACTTTGTTATAGATCTGATTATGGAAACAGCCCTATCCTCGTGCCAGGATAATGACATCGATTTACTCCCAGGTGGCAGGCTGTCTGATCTAGAGTACGCAGACGACATTGTACGATTAAGTGAAGGCCCTGGTAAGTTACAAGTCCTTCTGGATTGTTTGGGTGCTAATGTAAACAGGCTCGGTATGCGTTTTGCACCTTAAAAGTGTAAAATGTTACTTCAAGACTGGGTTGGATATACACCAATGGGGAAGTAGTAGAGAAAGTAGACAAATTTTGATATTTGGGCAGCTATATCTCACCCGGTGGACGCATCACAGATGAAGTGTCAGCTCGCATACAGAAGGGTCGGTTGGCATTTGTTGGCTGTCTGTGAAGGGTCCAGTGTATACCGCGGCAGTTCGGTTAGTTCTGCTCTACGGCACAGAAACTTGATCATTAAGGAAATAAGGAAAAAGATGGACTGTCGGTGTTCGAACACCGCTGTCTACGTAGCATTGCACGAATCTGGTGGGGAAACCGGACGAGCTATGCTGACGTTAGACGTAGAGTTTTAGGCAGTTGCCGTCGCCCACTGGAGCAAGTGGTCGACCTCCATAGTTGGTTCGTAAATGTGTTACGTATGTCGCCAGATAGGTTGCCACGGCGAGCGATGCTTGTCGAGACACGCAGTGGGTGGAGGAAAGTCAAGGGTGGTCAAGCTAAGACCTGGCATG